TTTTTTTTTTTTTTTTTTGAGGTTTTTGCTATAGGGTGTGTGCACTCACCAGAGACAGAAAGCAGGAAATCACCCCCCCCCCCAGGGGGGAGTGGCCATGCCACAGTCCCTTCACCATTCTCCTCTGGGATCTTGGGCACGCGCACACACGCACATGCCCGGCAAGGCCCCAGATTCTTGATCCAACTTTTCCAAGCCTGCCTTTAGTGGTTGCCTCTAACCTACATTTTAGATCCTGTGCTTATGGTTCCTTCTCACATTGGAATACACCTTAAAAGACATTTTGGGCCTTGAGACAGGCTGCAGTTGACCAAAGCATTACCTGGAAAGGGGCTTCTAGGTACCTGACTAGTGTCAGAAGTGATTGCCCTGGGACCAGCAGTTGGCATAATGGCTATGTCACTGGACTCCCATGTAGTTGACTGTGCTTTGAGTCCCGGACTTCGTGACTTAAGCTCATGCCAGGTGTGTGCACATGTGTGCTCCTGAGAGTACAATGGAAAAGGGATTGTGGCGTGGCCATCCCCCCTGGGGGGTGATTTCTGTCTGGTGAGCGCACTCACCCTATAGCAAAACCCCCCCCCAAAAAAAGTGCCCCAAGAACCTTTTTTTTTTTCTCCCATGTAAGTCCTTGCTCATTCATTTTTTTGTCACCTGTTCATCAGAGGCTTGAAATCAGATTAGAAAACTAGGTGGCAGGGGCTGCCTGAACTGAGCTCATGGAGAGGAGGGATGGTGCATGAGCATTTCAGTGCTCAGGAAGGCCCGTAATTGGGAGTCTGCCTCAAAGCCAGTGCTTGGTTAGCCAGAAGCACAGGATGCTGTTAGAAGATGCCAGGTGGGTATGGTAAAGATGAGGGTAGGATGTAGGTTGGAGAGTACAGGGGAGAAAGTAAGCTGATAAGATTTGAAGAAAACCCCTTTTTGAGATTTGGCTAGAGGGCATGTGTCCTCAACAGGCAGAAAGCAAGAAGCCCCCACTCCCCCATGGATGGCCAGGTTGCAATCCTCTAGATTCCTCGGGATCTTGGGCACACATGCACATGTTCCTGGTCATGTGGGAGTCCAGCAATGTAACCATTAGGCCATCTACTGGTCCCAAGAAACCACTATTTTCTAATCAGCACCCACTGCCCTCACTAGGTGTGCATTATCTTCCAATGAGTAACTACAAAACTTAGAGACGGCCGGCCTAGTAGTGCTTTGCCAAGCTTCCCATTTTTTCAACATTCTCCAAGAACTAGTATTAATAGGGGGCTCTGGAATCCTTTCCCCATCTGTTTCCATCCTCCCAAATGGAATACTGTAGCACTGCTTGATGGCCAATGTTTAGATGTTACTGTAGCAGCTCATTTCAAGGAGCTATTATAAGTATTTCCAACCCACTAGGCCTTGGTATATGTAGGACCCAAGATCATGCCTTGGTTTGATTGCTCTTAACTGCCAGAAGGTGAAAGCACCCCTAGATGGTGGCATGACCATGCTACAATATTTTTGCACATGTTCCCAGAACATGGTCAGATAGGATCTAGCCCCCCCTCCTTTTGGAGAGGTTTTTGCTATAGGGTGCATGCGCTTGCCAGAAAGACAGACGGAAAGCAAGAAATCACCCCCCCCCAGGGGTATGACACCAATCCCTTCATTCTCTCGGGATCTTGGGCATGCACACACACACACGCGCCCGGTGTGAGTTTAAGCCACTGGGTCCGGGATTTGAATCACGGTTGACTACCTGGGAGTCCAGTGACATAGCCATTACGCCAACTGCTGGTCCCAGGATCTAGCCCCCTTAGCCACTCAGCTAGAGCACTGTGGCCCGCTGTCTAGACTGATGCTGACAAATGAAGATGTTAGAGAAAGCACTCAAGCTCCCACTTGGAAGATAATGACTATTTATTAAAGGTACTTTTGCGTGTGGCTCTGGGCTATACACGCTCGCAAGCCCTTGTCATTTACCTGAGACCCCACCCTTCCTGTTAGGCTTCCAGTTACTCTCCAGCATGGAGTCTCTGATGTCTAATGAAAGCTGAGCTGCACCTGAAAGCCTTCCCACACTCACTGCATTCATAGGGTTTCACCCCGGTGTGGATTCTCTGATGCTGACTAAGGGATGAACTCTGGTTAAATGCTTTCCCACACTTGTTACACTCGTAGGGTTTTTCTCCAGTGTGAATTATGTGGTGTCGGATAAGGGCTGAGCTCTCGCTGAAGAATTTACCACATTCGTTACATTTATATGGCTTCTCCCCTGTGTGGGTCTTCTGGTGGATTATGAGATTTGTGCTTTGGCTGAAGGCCTTCCCACACTCACTGCACTTGTAGGGCTTCTCCCCAGTGTGAGTCCTCTGATGGTTTGTGAGGTTTGCACTCTGGCTAAAGGCCTTGCCACAGGCACTGCATTTGTAGGGTTTCTCCCCGGTGTGAATCCTCTGGTGCTGAATGAAGGCTGCACAGTAACTGAAGGCTTTCCCACACTCGCTGCACTTGTAGGGCTTCTCCCCGGTGTGAGTCCTCTGGTGGTTGGTGAGATTTGCGCTGTGACGGAAGGCCTTCCCACAGTCACTGCATTCGTAGGGTTTCTCTCCAGTGTGGATTCTCTGATGCTGAACAAGAGCTGAGCAGTCACTGAAGGCTTTCTCACACTCATTGCACTTGTAGGGCTTTTCTCCGGTGTGAGTTCGCTGGTGTTTTGTGAGGTTTGCGTTCTGGCTGAAGGCTCTGCCACATTCGCTGCACTTGTAAGGTTTCTCTCCAGTGTGAATCCTCTGGTGCTGAATGAGAGAGGAGCTCTGGCTGAAGGCCTTCCCGCACTCATTGCACTCATAGGGCTTCTCACCAGTGTGGCTCTTCTGGTGCTGAGACAGAGACGAACAGTAACTGAAGGCTTTGCCACACTCACTACATGTGTATGGCTTTGCTCTGTGCGGCTTAATTATGTTCAAATTTGTCTCAAAACCCTTGGTATGTGCTTCACATCTGTGAGGCTGAGCTCCCGCAGGAACTCTCTGTTGTGGAGAAAGGACAGGCCTCAGATTGATGTTCTGCCCAAGTTCACTGCTGCTGTGGTCTGACTCCCCTGGGAGCGTCTCGACACTGGTGTCTTGGAACGACTGCTCAGAGATGGCTTGCTCTGGTGCTGGTTCAGATGCAATCTTCCAGGCTGAAAAAAGTCAGAGAAGCAGTTGATCTCTCTTCCCTTGGTGACAGAAATACAAAAGGCTGAAGGGCACGGGCCAAGCTGTGAGAGGTCTGCCAAGTGCTTCCTGTCTGTTTTCAACCTTCAAACAATGAGGGGATGGTTTTGCAGAGACAGTCAGGGGCCAGCTGCCATGACACCCTCCAGTCCTTTCCTAAACCGCCGAGGGGATGACCCTGGCCCAGTCCTCCACCTCAGATGCGCCACTCCTTTCCTTTCCTCTTCCCGCCACTCCCCTCTGCTCTTGCTGAGCCCCAGCCGCCTTGTGCCACCTTTCTGGTCTCACGATTCTCAGTGTGGTTTGGGGCAATGTGCCTATTGGGCTTAAATAATTTATTTTAAAAAGCCGATGACCAATGCCAAGTAAGATGAATTTTGTCACTGACTAAATCAGCCAGATTTCAAAAAATGGTTAATTTTGGAGGGCTGGTGAGGTTGCAGCAGAATGGGATCTCATATTGCTATAGACTGGAAACTGAGACCCTCCACCCCCTTCTGGATAAGTCTGGTTGCACATGTCAAGTATCTTCTAATTCTGCCAGCAAAAATTTATTATAAGGAACCAACTAGAGATTACACAAAGCTGTTCAGACGAGGGTGCCCATCATAGCATAATTTTCCAACAAAGGGCCAGCTGCCATGACACCCTCCAGTCCTTTCCTAAACCGCCGAGGGGATGACCCTGGCCCAGTCCTCCACCTCAGATGCGCCACTCCTTTCCTTTCCTCTTCCCGCCACTCCCCTCTGCTCTTGCTGAGCCCCAGCCGCCTTGTGCCACCTTTCTGGTCTCACGATTCTCAGTGTGGTTTGGGGCAATGTGCCTATTGGGCTTAAATAATTTATTTTAAAAAGCCGATGACCAATGCCAAGTAAGATGAATTTTGTCACTGACTAAATCAGCCAGATTTCAAAAAATGGTTAATTTTGGAGGGCTGGTGAGGTTGCAGCAGAATGGGATCTCATATTGCTATAGACTGGAAACTGAGACCCTCCACCCCCTTCTGGATAAGTCTGGTTGCACATGTCAAGTATCTTCTAATTCTGCCAGCAAAAATTTATTATAAGGAACCAACTAGAGATTACACAAAGCTGTTCAGACGAGGGTGCCCATCATAGCATAATTTTCCAACAAAAGGCAAACGCCTCCATGTTCGGAAAGAGAACATGACTACATATAGACAATAAGGGACACTGTTCAGCAATTACGTCTTGTTTTTGTGTTTGAAATCTACACTATAATTCTTGTAGGAAGGTATCTATTTTTAAATTGTTTCTAATTTCTCCAATGACATTTTATAATAAAAGTTACAAAAAGCTTTCTTTCAGCGTATGCATTGATAAAAAGCAGTATGTTGAGTGAAGAAAGGAATATATAAAATTACATAGTTATCAGTTTTAGAAAAATGCATTACTACACTTTTAATATGAAGAATGAGGAAGAATGAGGATTACCTTTGTGTTGTAAGAATTAGGGGATCTGGATTTTCCTTTTTATTCTTTTCTTGATTTCCAAATTTTAAATGAACTTGAATTATTTTTACTACAAAAAATATTTTTTTTGGAGAGGTTTTTGCTATAGGATGCGTGCACTTGCCAGACAGACAGAGAGAGACATAGAAAGTGAGAAATCACCCCCCGGGGGGATGGCCATGCCGCAATCCCTTCTCCTCCATTCTCCTCTCGGGATCTTGGGCAAGCACGCACACGCGCCCAACGTGAGTTTTAAGCCACTGGGTCCAGGACATGAACCACGGTCGACTACATGGGAGTCCAGTGACATAGCCATTACGCTAACTGCTGGTCCCAGAAAAATATTTTTAAAAGAATAAAATTGCTTTTATAACCAGAAAATTTTGTTTTAAAAAGTTAATGATTCTTAACATTCTTTGAGACCTCTTTCAGAAAAATTTTAAATGTAAATTAATGTATAATATTTACATTTTTTTAAAAGAGATTTTTGTTACAGGGCACGTGCACTCGCCAGAGAGAGACAGACAGAAAGTGAGAAATCACACCCCAGTTGGGATGGTCACACCACAGTCCCGTCTCCTCCAGTCTCCTCTCAAGATTTTGGGAACACACACACACACATGCCTGGCATGAGTTTTAAGCCACCGAGTCCGGGCCTTAAACCATGGTTGACTACATGGGAGTTCAGCAGCATAACTATTACTCCATCTGCTAGGACCAGTCGTCTTTTTTGGGGGTGGGGGTGGGGGGGCAGGTTTTTGCTATAGGGCACGTGTGCTCGCCAGAAAGATGAAGAGAGACGGAAAGCGAGAAATCACCCCCCAGGGGGGATGGCCACACCGCAATCCCTTCGCCTCCATCCTCCTCTTGGGATCTTAGGCACACACGGACACGTGCCCGGTGTGAGTTTAAGCCACTGGGTCCAGGATTCAAACTGTGGGCAACTACATCGGAGTCCGGCGACGTAGCCATTACGCCATCTGTTGGTCCCAAGTCATCTTAATCACCATGTGACTAGCTGGTCTGCCAGAAAGATCCGTCACTCAGATTGTTCACTGTTAGAAACAGATGGCACGTAATCTGACGGTCTGCCCTGAACCCATGTGGCTAATGCATAACAAGGCAGGGCCGAGCTGAGTCTTTCTTACGCCCACATCCAAGGCTACTCCTACCCTACCATCCCGCCTATAGCCTCAGAGCACATACACTTGGTAATGCCCCTTCCCAACTTCTCTTTCTAATAATGTGATCTGAACCTTCCAGGGTAACTTCCTGGGTTGAAGTTCATGACCACCTGCAACTTCAAAATGTGACCTTATCTGGAAATAAGGTCTTTGTAGACATAATCAAGTTGCAGGCACACTGGATTAGGACAAACTTACTTTCTTTTTCTTTTTTTGGAGAGGTTTTTGCTATAGGGTGCATGTGCTCGCCAGAAAGACTGAGAGAGACAGAGAGATAGAAAGCAAGAAATCACCCCCCCCCGGGGGGATGGCTACGCTGCAATCCCTTCTCCCCCATTCTCCTCTCGGGATCTTGGGCACGCATGCACACGTGCCTGGCATGAGTTTAAGCCACTGGGTCCAGGACTTGAACCGCAGTCGACTACACGGGAATCCAGTGACATAGCCATTACGCCAACTGCTGATCCCAGGATAAACTTTTAAAAAAAGGGAAACTTGGATATAGTCACAGAGAAGACAGTCCATGTGACTGCAGGAGCAAGACTGATGTATCTAAAAGCCAGTAACACTGGGATGTCCCTTGAACTCCAACACCAGAAGCCAGAAAGAGGCAAAGGAGGGTCCTCCTGAGGGCCCAAAGAGGGGCAGGCCCCGGTGACATCTCAGCTTTGACGTCTAGCCTCTGGAACTGTAAGAAAATCAGCTTCTGTTGTTTTAACTCACCAGTTTGTGATTCTTTGGTAAGGCAAACCCTAGGAAACTAATATAGTAACCTTCTAAGGATCTTGAACCTCTAAGACTGTGATGAACACTTTTTCCAGAAAAATGCAGTTGCTCCTCTAGTCACAAAATGCATCCACTTTCTTCAACTCTATTCAGGGATAAAGGGCTGCACTTATAAAAAAAATGGGTGTGCAGAGAGGAGGGGGCTTTTAGGAGAAGGAAGCAGGATGACCGAGGCTCCTGAAGAGGCACTTTCAGCAGGGTGACTGCTGCCTCGTGCTCCCACAAAGGCTGAGGTAATGTGACAAGTGGCTTGGAAAGAGAAGAGAAGAGTTCTGGCTGTGAGGCTTTGGGTCAGTGAATTAACCTCCCTCAGCTTAATTCCATCCATTGTGAAATGGAGCTAGTAACACCCACCTCACAGGGTTGTTGCAATCATCAAGTGCACAGATATGTGTTTCAAAGGGGTTTTGCTCCCAAGATCCTCACTGGTTTTGTGCTTGCTCGCTTACCTGGACAGGGACTTCTTAGGTCTTCTCCCTCGAGCAGCCATGGGCCTTCACTCTGTTCCAATGGGGAGTTTATGCCAGGCTGAGAAACTGGAAGACCTAGTCCAGGGGAAAAACAGGCTTCAGAGATTTTACTAAGTATAAATAGCCACTCAGAACTCAGGGGAGAAGAAACAGACCAAGTGAGGTAGTTCATTTCTCTCCTTTGATAAATACTGAGCAAGTATTTACTTGATGGTAAGACAGACATGGTACCAAGGTTTAGTAAAGAATTTCTGAAAAGATCTAAAACAGCCTTCAGGAGGGGGAGTCAAGCCAAACAGCCTGTCATGTACCTTATTCTGAGAGGAGAGAACTTCCTAAATGTGGAGATGCTGATCTGAGGGTTGCCCCTCCCCTTCCAGGAAACAGGAGGGTGGGGGTGTGCCTCAGAGGAAGCACAGTAAGACTGCCTATTTGAATAGATACCATCTGTTAGGGAACAGGGAGGAATAAATGGTGCCCCAGAGGAATCAGAGATCTCGCCACACACTGCAAAGCAACAGGCACAGGCTGTCAGAATGAGCTAAGTCTCAGTCTTAAAGAAATGGGTTTCCTGGGACCAGCAGTTAGTGTAATGGCTATGTCGCTGGACTCCCATGTAGTCGACCGCGGTTCGCGTCCTGGACCCGGTGGCTTAAAACTCACGCCGGGCGTGTGTGCGTGTGTGCCCAAGATCCCGAGAGGAGACTGGAGGAGAAGGGATTGCTATGTGGCCATCCCCCCTGGGGGGTGATTTCTCGCTTTCTGTCTCTCTGTCTCTCTCTGTCTGTCTGGTGAGTGCATGCGCCCTATAGCAAAAACCTCTCCAAAAAAAGAAATGAGTTTCCTTACCCAGTAAGACCAGGTTCCTAGATTTTTCTGGTATCCCCTCCTTGAACCTGTCCCTTGGAACAGGGACCAGATGCCTCCACCCGTCCTGGGTAAAAGCTACAGTCATACTGCTGAAGGGCGTGGATTCCTGAAACAACAAGCAAATTCTTTCTCACCAGCAGCCTCAGGATCCAGGGTGGATGGAGGTGACAGAGAACTTTGGCAGCTTAGGGGAAACTGGACAATGGTCTCTGAAAGGATTCAGGTATCTGGGTAGTTCAAGAAAAGCAATTATCAGTCACTTTCTATGTGCCGAACGCTATTACAGGTTATGACACAACAGGACACTGACTCATTTTAAATGCTTGTAATTCTAATAGGCTTTATGTATAAATAGTTAAAAAATATGTGTGTGAGAGAGAATAGGGCAAAAACTAACAGGCGTTGGGATTTAACAGAACCAATCCAGAGGAAATAAAACTAAAATGTGAGCTTACAGTGAAGAGGCAGGTACAAATTATCAAAGAAATGTGAAACTGAATTTTCAAACAATTGAATAAATAACTCAGAAATCACCTGGTGTAACAGGACAGCCAGGCATGTACACAGACAGATGTGATAATACATTCAAAGAGGTGGGCTGGCTCTACAGCACAGTGGGGTGTGCTCTGCACTGGGAGTCAGAGCCCACATGGCAGACTGTGGTGGGAATCCCAGCCCCAGTGGCTCAAAAAACACAAAGCAGAGACCAGCAGATGGCATAAGGTTACATTGCAGGATTCCCACATAGTCGACCGTAGTTCGAGTCCTGGACTCGGCGGCTTAAAACTCACGCTGGGCGTGTATGTGTGTGCGCCCAAAATCCTGAGAGGAGACTGGAAGAGAAGGGACTGTGGTGTGGCCATTCCCCCTGGGGGGTGATTTCTTGCTTTCTGTCTCTCTGACAAGCGCACGCGCCCTATAGCAAACAAACAAACAAACAAACAAACAAAAACCCTGACTCTAAAAAGAAGAAAAACATAGTTCATGCATATGAGCATGCCCAAAATCCCAAGAAGAGAGATGGACAAGAGAAGACTGTGGTGTGACCATTCCCCGTGGGAGGTACTTTACCTCTTCTCTCTCTCTGTCTCCCTCCCTCCCCGCCCCGCCCCGGTCAGTGCACACGTCCTCTCTCCAAAACAAAGAGAGAGAGAGAAATAAAAGCTATTGTAAACATATGTCATGAAGCAAATAACAAAAAGCTATAATACATAAAGGAAAAACAAACAGAAATTTTAAAATATTCCAGTTTTGAGAGGCCAAACAGTAGCAGAGCAGCAACACAATGCTCTATGAGGCTGACCCACTTGAGAAGGGGCTGGGTCTGCCTCCAGAGACCTCCCAGGGCACACCAGGTGTGCACATGCCCTTGACTGGCTAAAGCTAGAGGTGGATCACAGTGGAGACTAACAGTGGAGATGCTGTTGGGGATGCCTGTCTCTCTGTCTCTTGCTCATGGAAGAAATAAATAACTCAGTTCATTGACAGTTAATCCCAAATGAACAACAAAAAAAGATACAGATAATCACGCAATGTGATACCAACAGAGCTATATCAAACTCAGTAGCCTGTGATCAGATGGTGCACTGGTCTGCTGTCTTGACAAGAGACATGCACTGTCCTCCTAAGGCACAGACCAATGAATGGGCAAAGAAAGGAAAACTGTAATTTTGAAATATCTAAACAAAATCCATAGGCCCAGACTTTCAAGGTAAACAAGGAAGAAGATAATGAATTAAGTATCAACTCAACAGGTTAAAAAAAAAAATATTGGAGCCAACAGGTGGTGGAGTGGTAAGGTGCTAGACTCCCATATGGCTGACTAGATTTCAAGTCCTGGATTCAGAGGCTTGAAACTCATGCCAGTGTACGTGCATGTGTGCTCAAAATCCCGAGAAGACAATAAGGAGAACGAATTGTAGCATGGCTATCCCCCCTGGGGGTGCTTTCTCTCTTTCCAAAAAAAATTAAGTATTTATTTAATAAATAAATATTAAAATAAATCTGAGGACAGCAAAAAAGAAAAAATAAAGAGAAATATATTAACAAAGAGCAGAAATGGAGCCAGATGACAGTGCAGCAGTAAAACGCAACACTCTGCAAAGCAGTCCCAAGTGGGAGGGTTCCTGGTTGGCTGAAGACCTCCCTGAGCACACTGGGCATGCGTTGGCCTGTGAGCTGGACTGGCTGAGGCTGGGGTGAACTGCAGCACTAACATACCATCCGAAGTACTGTCTCTCTCCTCTCATGCATAGAACAACAAAAGAAAGAACAACAACAAAGTGGTGTAGGACTGACAAAGAAATCAAAGAGCAAACTTTAAAAAAAATGAAAATAGGGTCAGGCAGGGGGTGTGGTAGTTGAAGGTGCTAGACTCCCACATGGCCGACTGCAGTTCGAGTCCCGGACCTGGTGGCTTGCTTTCTTGCTTTCTCTCTCTTGCTCTGTCGCACTCTGATCAAATCAAAATAAATAAATAAATAACATTACAGAGTAGAAGATACTAGAAATCCTCTTAATGAAATGGGTAAACATTCATCAAACTCTGCTAAGTGAAAATAAAAAGATTACAAAGCAGAATAAACCAACTTTCGGAAACTGGATTGGAGTGATTAAAGATGATTGAAATTTTGTTTGTATTTTCTATTTTACAGGTTTTCTGTAGTGAACACGAATTAGTTTTGAAATTAGGGGAAGGAAAAAACCTAAACCAACTTTACCATTAATATTGGGGAAAAAAAAAGAGGGTGCCTCTGAGTCCACTTGCAACTCACCGGGGGCCCAGCTATGCGGAGACCAATAGCCATTCCTTCCTCGCCAGTGCTTTCCTCTTGGGGGAGGGGAGAGTCCAGAAAAGGGGGTACTGGAAGAGAAAGAAACCCAGAAGGCATAAAACTCTCCAGCTTAAGGGTCACCAATTCTCACAATAAAGACGGTTTTTATGAAAGATGTAGCAGGTACCAGGAGTCAGGCTGAATTTGCTGCCCTGCAGTGGGATGTGAATTTTCCCACTTCCTCTCCCTCAGAAACTCCATCAACTCACTCAGCTGTAAGGAGACATTAGAGGCTAATGGATTCCCAATATCCAAGAGCCACCACTCACCAGCAGTGTGCAAACCATGCAACTCTCTAAGTTTCGTTTTTCTTATCTGCAAAATGGGGATGATCCCTAGTAAGATGAAAGAAATAGATGGATAGGACCAGCAGTCAGAGTAATGGCTATGTCACTGGAGTCCCATGTAGTCGACTGTGGTTTGTGTCTCGGACCCAGTGGCTTAAAACTCACGCCGGGCGCGTGTGCGTGTGCGCCCAAGATCCCAAGAGGAGAATGGAGGAGAAGGGACTGTGGTGTGGCCATCCCCCCGGGGGATGATTTCTCGCTTTCTGTCTCTCTGTCTTTGTCTGTCTGGCGAGCGCACGTGCTCTATAGCAAAAACCTCTTTAAAAAAATAGAAATAGATGGATAAAGCAGTTGGTACAGTGCCTAGCATTTAAATATACAGTTTATAAATACCACCTATTGCTTTGTTCTTTGGAGAAAGAGCCTCTGTATATCTAAGACATTTAATGAAAGGAAAGGAAGAACTAATGGTGGCTTAGTCTAATATGTGTGTTTGTATCTTAGGGTTTTTGTTTGTTTGTTTGTTTGACTAGATTGTATGTGCACTCACCAGAGAGACAGAGAAGGGGAATGGTTACACTATAATTCCTTTTTCTCTGTCTCCCCTCCTTTCAGGATTTTGGGCACAGATGCTCATGTGCCTGTGTTTCTCAAGCTGCTGGGTCTGAAACTTGAAGGCAACAGGCAAACATGTGGGATCCATTTTTTAACAAAAAAGTAATAGAAAAATTTAAAGTAGAAGAAAGCTTAAAGAATAAGGATATATAAAAAGAAAATCTTTTTTGTATAGCTGTATGATATGCTTGTATTTTTTAAAATTTAGCCATAGGGTGCATGCATGTACACCCTGGTGAGAAACGAGAGAGGGAAAGTGAGAAATCATGCCCCGAGAAATGGCCACACTGCAATCCCTTCTCCTCTTGGAATTTTGGACATGGACATGCGTCCAGCATGATTTTTAAGCTGCCTGGTTCAGGACTCAAACCATGCAGTCAGTCATGTGGGATCCAGCTGCCTTACCCTCCACACCACCAGCTGGTCCAATGTGTTGAAGTGTGAATACAAAGAACCAAAAGGTTTTTTAAAAAAGTTTATAAAGTAAAAAATTTATAGTACACTAAAGTTAATTTTTGAAGAAAGGAGATATTAATTTAGTTTAACCCCTTGTACAGTGGTTATGAACTCTACAGTGGTGTACAGCCATGTCCAGGACCTTCACATTCACTCACCACTTACTGACTCACCCAGAGCAACTTCTAGGCCTGCAAGCTCTGTTCATGTGAGTGCCCTATACTGATGCACTGTTTATCTTTTACACTGCAGTTTTACTGTGCCTTTCTTTTACTGTACCCTTCATATCTTTAGATATGTTTAGATATGCTAATACTTACCATTGTGTTATAATTGCCTATTTAGTACAGTAACATGCTGTATGAGTCTGTAGCCTAGGAGAAATAGGTTATATCATATAGCCTAGGTGTGCAGTAGGCTATACTATCTAGAGTTTATTAGTACATTCTATGGTGTTCGCACAAGAACAAAATCATCTAACTACGCATCATTCTCAGAATGTACCCCCATGTGGGACCAGCAGTTAGAGTAATGGCTATGTCGCTGGACTCCCATTCAGTTGACTGTGGTTCAAGTCCTGGACCCAGTGGCTTAAACTCACGCCAGGCACATGTGCATGCATGCCCAAGATCCCGAGAGGAGGATGGAGGAGAAGGGATTGTGGCGTGGTCATCCCCTCCAGGGGGTGATTTCTCGCTTTCTCTCTGTTTCTGTCTTTCTGGCGAGCGCACGCACCCTATAGCGAAAACCTCTCCAAAAAAAGAAAAAAAAAAAAAAAGAATGTACCCCCATGTCATTATGTAAAATGCATCCTATGTTTATGGACTGAAAGCTTCAGTACAGTTGAGATGGTAGTATGTCCCAAATGTAGAGTCAATACAAATCCTTTCAAAATCCTTTCAAAAGTTGATCTTTTCTTTTTTTATTTTATAGAAATTGACAGGCTTATTCTAAAATTCATATAGAAATCCAAGGGATAAGGAACAGCCAAAACAATCTATAAATAGGTAAACAAAGCTGGAGCATTCACATTTTACACCGTCAAAGCTTTCTACAAACAAAATACTGTGGTACTGGCATAAGAACAGGTCTATAGATTAATGGAAGAGAACTGAGTCAATCAATCAATCAATGCAATTAACTTTTGACAAGCGTACCAGGAAATTAGATGGGGGAAAAGGATAGATATTTTTAAAATGGTACAGGGCACAATGAGATACCACCTAACCCCTGTCAGAACGGCAAAGATTTAAAATACAAAAAGTGGTAAGTACTGGTGGGGTTGTGGTGAAAGGGGAACTCTCCTACACTGTTGGTGGGAATGTAAACTGGTTCAGCCACTGTGGAAAATAATATGGAGGTTCCTCAAAGACCTACGAATAGAACTACCACTTGATCCAGCAATCGTAGTCCTGGGTATCTACCCAAAGGACAGGAGAATCCTCAGTCGGAAAAGCACTTGCACGTCAGTGTTTATTGCGGCACTATTTACAATTGCTAAGACACGGAACCTACCCAAATGTCCACGAACAGATAGATGAATGGATTAAAAAAGTGTGGCATGTATACTCTATGGAATACTATTCAGCCATAAAAAAATAAGACCCTGGCATCTGATAGAAAGTGGTCAAATATGGAAGATTTATTGTTGAGTGAAGCAAGCCAGACTATGAAAGAAAGATATTGTATGTATTTACTTAATATATACCAACTACCTGCGCTTTATGGCAGAGATTGAAATACTGGAGGGCATAAAAGCAGTGAAAATAGTTATGGATGCTGAAGACAGTGTGGAATGGGTGGGGGGACTAAGGGATGAGTATAAAGAAGGAAATCAGGAGAAAAAAAGAGACACAGGATATTTGTGGGACAAAGAAATGGTTCATTACCTGTTAGTGATAACATATATAGTATTCTCAACTGGATTGGTCTGATAAGTATTTCATGTTGAGTATATTCTCTCTACAAGCCAAATGATGTAGAGTGATCAAATGTTAAAATAAAAAAAAAGGTACAGGGTCAAGCTAGTCCCATGACCTAAGTGCTTAAGGGAGCTAGATCTCATATGGTCAACAGCACAGTCTGAATCTTAGCCCTGATGGCTTGAAAAACGAAAAACAAGCTTTGTGCCCCAACTCCTAAAAGGATAGAGAAATAGAGAAGGGACTGTGGTATGGCCAGCCCTTCTGGAAGATGCCTTCTCCCTTTTTCTTTCTGTCTCCTTCTGGCAAGCACACATGCTCCACAGTAAGCTAAAATTAAAAATAAAAAGAGTGAAACCCATGCCAAGTTTTCCCATACTATGCATTTCCTATAAACTTCTTGGAAGGCCTCTTGCATTATTGCAACTCAACATAAAATACAAGTAACCTGATTACAAAATAGGCAAAAGATTTAAACAGCTATTTCTTCAAGCAAAATATGTAAAGAGTCAATAAGCACATGAAACTCAACACTATTAATCATTAGGGAAAAGCAAATCAAAACCACAAGATACTACTTCGCACCTATTAAAATGACTACTTGGGGTCGGCAGGTGGCGTGGTGCCTAAGGGTGCTGGATTCCCACATGGCCGACCACGGTTTGAGTCCTGGATCTAGTGGCTTGCTTTCTCATTTTCCATCTCTCTCGCTCTCATTCTGTTCCTCTCTAGTCAAATAAAAATAAATAAATAAAATAATTCTTTAAAAAAAAATAAAATGTCTTCTAAAATGACTAATAAAATAGATGAAAAATATCAAGTGTTGATGAGGATGTGGAGAAACAAACCCTTATACACTGCTGGTGAAAATGTAAAATGATGCAGTCGCCATGGAAGTCAGTTCATGTTCCTCAGTCAGATGGGCCAGCCGGTGGCATGGTGGTTAAGGCAGATGCACAGTCTGAGTCTCAGACCCGGCAGCTTGAAAAACATGCCGGGCCCAAAATCCCTAGGAGGGGAAAATGAAGGAGAAGGGATTGTGGCTTGACTGCCCCCACAAGGGCACTTCCTCACTTTTTTTTTTCTCTCTATACACCCCCTACCCTGCAATTGCATATGCCGTCTGGCAACTTAAAAGAAAAAAAATAGTTAGTTACATGACACAGTAATTCCACGCTTAGGCATATACCCAAGAGAAAAACATGTCCACACAGAAGTCACTCAGGAATGAACAAAATATGATATGTCCACACAAGAGGATATTATTCAGCCACTGGAAGAAGTGAAATACTGATGCGTGGTATAGCTTGGATGAAGCTTGAGAACACTATCCTAAGTGAAGGAAGTCAGACCCAAAAGGTCACATACTTATGTGTCCGTTTATATGTAATGTCTTGGGCAAGAGACAGAAAGTAGATTTAGTGATTGACTGGGACTTGTGGGAGAGGGGGAATGAGAAATGGGAGTGACTATTGATGAGTACCGGGTTTCTTTTTCAGGTAATAAAACTGTTTTGGAACTAAACAGTGGTGATGGTTTGCATAACTAAAAAAAAAAATTTTTTTTTGAATAACATTTTTTTCTAACCTTTTTTTAAAGAATTTATTTATTTATTTATTTATTTATTTTAATTTAACCAGAGAGAGAGAGAGAGAGAGAAAGTGAGAAAGCAAGCCACCAGGTCCAGAACTCAAACTGTGGTTGGCCATGTGGGAGTGTCCAGTGCCTTAACCACCATGCTACCTGCTGGTCCCCAGCATGACTAAAAATTCTAAAAATCACTGAATGCACATTTTAAAAGGCTGAATATTATGGTATATAAATTACATCTGATGTAAATAGATCTAGACACTGATCTTAATAGAGACCTCTGTTACTGAGTTGTACCCAATCCCACCGCACCTTCTTTTCTTTTGCAGTGTGGGGAGGATGATAACCATCTGACCTGATTCCCCAGATCTCTGGAGGAAGACAACACGAAATGCTGGATGTGGTACTGCACTCTTCAAATGCAAGGCCAAACACAGGGACCCGGTGATCTACGGTACAACACAAAACGCTAGATGTGAAATTGCTCTTGCAGAGTAACAGACCAAATCTGGAGGCCTCTGATTTAGAGGAGGACGACACGGCCTTGGTGGCCAAGACTTCCCACTCATTTACTCTGTACTGCAGTCAAGGTGCTTTCAAAAACGTTATTTTATTTTAATGACTACGAGTCCTAGATGTAAACAAAAAGGTTAATGCTATCTCATTTCTTGCACGGAGAAACGGGTTAAGAGACCTGGCTGGGTACCTAGGACTTTAACAAGAATGTGGGCCTCCTGGCTGCAAATTCCCCTGTCCTAGACATCACATTCCTATGGGCTGAACCTGCCCTCTAGGTACCCTGAGCTTCCGCATCCCTGCTTTCTTCCAGCGCTATGAGGAGAGAAGCGACAGACGAGTTCCTAGGAACGTCTCATTTTCCTTTCCGTAACACTCGTCCCCCTACTGGCTAATGTCTTCGGTCGATCACGCAGACTGCGGTAGGGGGTAGGATATTCAGAGATCATCCAGATCCGAGGTCCTCAAGGGTTTCTGACTCCACAATTCTTCACCACTCCCGCCCCTGCTCCCAAAAGGTTGCTCCCAACCCTTTGTGGAAAAGATTGGAGTTCTGGTCCGCGGGAACAAGCAGCTGGATCTCCTGCAAATCGCTCCCTCCACCACGCCTCACCTCCTTCCTCCAGCATCTGGGTCCCACCTCGCGCCACCGCCTCCACAGATCAGCCCCGTTCTGCAGGGCTGCTCTGACAGCTCGCGGGCTGCGCTCTCCCTCTCCGGACTTTCCCCGCACGGGCCGGGTCTGAGCCTGCGGTGCTGGGCTCTGGCAGCGCGGGCCCGGCCACCCCAGCTCGGTGTCCCCTCCGTCGCCACAGCCACTGCTCAGCTCAGCCTCACGCTGAACGCACGCGAAGAAGACGTTGCGGGCTCTCTGGGAACACCGGGGACAACCAGCCCAAGCTCAGGAACTGCGGCCCGGCGCTACGTCCGCCGGGTCTCCGCTCTCGCGCCAAGCGGACGCGCCAGAATCGCGTCACTTCCTGTCATGCGCAAACGCCTCACCCCGCCGGACTCCATTTCCCAGAAGTCTCCGCCCGGCTCCGTTCTGAGCCGAAAAGACTTGTCTTTCCAGTTGCCAGGTGATCCGCACATCTTTGTCGACCGAACTTCCCAGAGAGGCTCCCTCCTGACTTGCTCCCAGACTCTTCTATCCATCACACTTTCTTTTTTTCTTTTCTTTTTTGTTTTTTTTTTTTTTAATTTTTAAATAAGTACTTTATTTCACTTTATTTATTATTTTATCAGAGAAGGACAGAGCAAGAGAGCGAGAGATAGAGACAGAGACAGAAAGTGAGAAAGCAATCCGCCAGGTCTAGGGCTCAAACCGCGGTCTGCCATGTGGGGAGTCCAACATCCTTCACCACCATGCCACCTGCCAGCCCCTCATCGCCCTTTCTTGTTGCGCATATCTCAGGACCACTGGGGTCCCACCGCGACGGGCATCTGCGACAGGAAGCGAAGGCTCCTGGACCGTGGCCGTGGCTGTGGCGCAGGCGCAGACATTGGTGTACTGGGTGCTAGTTTCTGCTCCCAGCTCCGTGCTCGTGATCGGGTGATGGGCGATCCTGCCCTCCTGAGGTCTGCGGCTGGGCCCCATCCGAGCCACCTGCACCGCCCTCGTGAGCCACACCAAAAGCTTAGGAAGTAAATGAAAAGAGAGCCTTGGGTCCGAACAGGACAGCCTCTGCCTGGTGCGCTGGAACCCCGGAGGCATAAAAGTGTACCAGTAAGGGGGACCAGCAGATGGCAGCAATGGTTGCTCTTCCACGTAGTCGACCGAGCTTTAAGTCCCGGATCCGGGGCGCGTGTACATGCGTGCCCAAAATCCCAGAAGGAGAATGGAGAAGGGATTGCGGCGTGGGATCCCTCGTGATTTCTCGCTTTTCGTCTGTCTCTCCGGGGAGCGCAGGAGCCCTATAGCAAAAATCTCTCAAAAAAAAAACAAAAAAAATCTGCCAGTGGGCGGGAACTGTTCCCGTAGTTTTGGGAGGAAGCACACAGATACTGCTTGACCGGTACTGTTGTGGGAAAAGATCCTGAGTATTGTCCCGTAAGTGTTTCCCTGCTGGGGGCAGGGGATGTTCCAGTGGGCTTTCCCAGACATTTCTCTTCTAGCCTGATTTTCGTGCAGTTTTTGGATGGGTAGAATTCTGTTTAGAAGGATTTTTGTCGTTAAGAAGGGAATGGGTTACCTGGGAAGCCCAAGGCAGTGTGGAGGTTCTAAGGCCTCATTTTCTATTGCCTGTGGTTTTTCCATCACAACTGGTGGCATTTTGGACAATATAATTTTCTTTGTTGGTCTGTGAGAGTGAATTTCAGTTTTTATCCCAGTTGAAATTCACACCATCATAAAAGCCTCACCCACACACTTCTTTAAAGATAAGCCCTCCTCCACCTTGGGCTTCTGACATTTTGGAGTTGGTGTGGTAGAGGTCAGAAGTGTGAAATAGGTCTCACTGTGCAAAAATCAGGATGTCAATATTACTGCATTCCTTCTTGAGGCTCTAGGGGAGAAGCTGTTTTCTTGCCTTTTCCATCTTCCAGAGGCTGCCCACTTTGCTTCACTCGCAGCCCCTTCTGCCTTCAAAGTCAGCAACCTCAGGCTGAGTTCTTCCATAGCTGTCATCTCTCTGGTTCTCTCTCCTGCCACCTTCTTTGACTTTTTAAAACCCCCATGGTTATACCAGACCAGGTAATCATGGGCTTGGTTAATTGAGGAGAGCCCCCCACCCCCGATTTTTTTTAGCTATAGGGTGCATGTGCTTGCCAGAGACACAGAGAGGGAAAGTGAAAAATCACACTTCCCCCGGGGGGATGGCCATGCCACAATCTCTTCTCCATTCTCCTCCTGGAATTTTGGGCACATAAGCACACTCGTGCTCAGCGTGACTTTCAAGTCACTGGGTCTGAGACTCAAATTGTAGTCAACTATGTGGGATCCAGCTCTTTAACCTCTATGCCAGCTGTTGACCTGGAGAATCCCTATTTTAGGGTCGACCTAATATCATTTACAACCTTAATTCCATTTTGCCAACGTAACCTAACATATGAATAGATTCAGAAGATTAGGGTGTGGACATCTTTGGGGAGTAGCATTATTCTGCTCCACAGTGGGGATGAGAAAACCACACTGATTCTGTGATCCAGCCAGCTGTGAGGTTGGCAGGGGTGGCACAGACCCGCCAACCCTCACCTCAGGAAAGCTGGGTCCAGAGTGCTTTGTGGATTGCTGGAAGGTACCTGGCCCCACTCTAGGCTAACTGCATTAGTACTTGGAGGATCAACTCCGTGATCACGAGTGGTCCCCCAAAGATGATATAATCAATCCCAACCTTGAGAATCCTGGGCCCAGTCTCCTGAGTTTTTTTTCTTTTTCTTTTTTGTCGGAAGACCCTTATTTTCTTGAGGAAAGGGAATAGCTGGACTGGATGGAGAGCACCCATTTTCCCCTTCCCCCGTTCTCTGCTCTTTGAAAGAATAAACCTGAAGCTGGTTCTAGTCGCAATTTCTCCATCAGAGAAGTTGTGCCCACCTGATCTTCGCTTTTCTCTTCCTGTGTGTCTTTGTGTGTTATTGTGTCTATTTCTAATCCACAGTCTTCCCCACTCAGAGAAACGTGTTCATGCTGAGCTGGGCCCAGCAAAGTGACGCCCAACGTGGGGCCTGAGTATGGGGAACGAGTCAGACGAGTGGACACTCCTTGCAGCTGGCCGGATATTATCAAGTAAGGTAAGGATCCTATAGCATAAAGTAAGAGTAAAAGAGAAAGAGATGCTAGAGCAGCTTACGGAAGCGCATATCTGCATGTGTCTTCAGGCCACATGTTTTAATCACATGTTTTCAGATTGGCTGCTTTCCACATTAGAGAGCTTTTTGTTCAGGTCATTTTTCCATCTTTTAATTGGGTTGATAATTTTTTTTTTGAGAGTTTTTTTTGCTATAGGGCGCGTGCGCTCATCAGACAGACAGAGAGACAGAGAGACAGAAAGCGAGAAATCACCCCCCAGGGGGGATGGTCACGCCACAATCCCTTCTCCTCCATTCTCCTCTTGGGATCTTGGGCATGCATGCACACGCGCCCGGCGTGAGTTCTAAGCCACCGGGTCCGGGACGCGAACCGCGGTTGACTACGTGGGAATCCAGCGACATAGCCATTACGCTAACTGCTGGTTCCCAATTGGGTTGATAATTTTTTAGGGGGGTGGGAGGTTAGGTTGCTTGAGTTCCCTGTGTATTCTGGTTATTAGTCCCTTATTTGAGGCATATTTACAAAAATCTCCCACTCTAAGGGTTGTCTATTCACACTAATTACTGTCTTTTGCTGTATAAAATCTTTTGAATCTGATGTAGTCCCACTTGTCTATTTTGGGAATTATTGCCTGTGCATTGGGGGTCTTATTAAGAAGTCTTTGCCTATCTCAATGTCTCCCAGAGCTTCCCCAGTGTTTTACACCAGTAGTTTTATAGTTTAAGGTCTTAGGTTTAGATCTTTGATCTACTTTGATTTTTGTTAATAGTGAGAGATAGGGGTCCAGATTAATCTTTCTGCAGGTGAATACCCAGATTTTCCAGCACCATTTGCTAAAGAGGTTTTCCTTTTCCCACTGGATTGACTGGTACCCTATGTTAAAAATCAGTTGGCTGTATGTTTTGGGGTTTATTTCTGGGGTCTCTATTCTGTTCCATTGGTCCTCATTATCTGTTTTTGTGCCAATACCATGCTGTTTTGATTATCACAACTTTGTAATATATTTGGGGGTCAGGGAGTAAGATGCCTCCTACTCTACTCTTTTTGTACAGGATTGCTTTGGCAATATGGGGTCTTTTATGATTCCATGTAAATTCTATAGTTGTCTTTTCTAAATCTGTGAAGGATGTCTCTGGTAATTTGATTGGGATTGTGTTAAATATTAGATTTTTTAAAATTTAAATATTTAATTTTATTTATTCATTCATTTTTAATTTGACCAGAGAGAGAGAAAGAGAGAGAGAGGGAGAGAGATAGAGAAAGTGTGAAAGCAAGCTGCCAGGTCCAGGACTTGAACCATGGTCAGCCATGTGGGAGTGTCCAGCGCCTTAACCACCATGCCACCTAATGGTCCCTTTGTGTTAAATATTAGATTAATTTGGGTAGAATTGCCATCTTGATTTTTTTTTTAATTTACTTTTTTTTTGGAGAGGTTTTTGCTATAGGGTGCGTGCGCTCGCCAGACAGACAGAGACATAGAGATAGAAAGCGAGAAATCACCCCCCGGGGGGATGGCCACACTGCGATCCCTTCTCCTCCATTCTCCTCTCGGGATCTTGGGCACACACGCACACGTGCCCGGCATGAGTTTAAGCCACCAGGTCCAGGACGCGAACCGCGGTCGACTACGTGGGAGTCCAGCGACATAGCCATTACGCTAACTGCTGGTCCCGCCATTTTGATTTTATTAATTCTTCCAATCCAGGAACATGGGATGTCCTTCCACTTTTTTTGTGTCACTTTTGATTTCTTTTTTTTTTTTTTCGCTTTTCATAGTTTTCTTTGTGTAGGTCTTTGACTTCTTTGGTGAGGTTTATTCCTAGGTATCATACTTTTTGTGGCTATAGTAAATGGGTTACTTTCTTTAGTTCTGCCTCAGTCTGCTTTTTGTTGATATATAGAAGTGGTATAGATTTGTGTATGTTGATTTTTGTATCCTGACACTTTACTGTATTCATTTATTATTTCCAGGAGTTTTTCATAGATACCCTTGGGTCTTCTAAGTATACAATCATGTCATCTGCAAATAGAGATAATTTCACCTCTTCTTTTCCTATTAGGATGGCTTTTATTTCATTCTCTTTTCTGATTGCATTGGCTAGGACTTCCAGCATTATATTGAAAAAGAATGGGGAAAGTGGGCAGCCTTGTCTTGTGACAGTTTTTAGTGGAAAAGCTTTCAGTTCTTCCGCATTCAGTATGATGTTAGCTATCGAGTTTTTTTGTTTGTTTGTTTTGGTTTTTTTTGAGAGGTTTTTGCAATAGGGCGCGTGCGCTCGCCGGATAGAGAGAGACAGAGAGACAGAAAGCGAGAAATTCACCGCCCTCCCAGGGAGGATGGCCATGCCGCAATCCCTTCTCCTCCATTCTCCTCTCGGGATCTTGGGCATGCACGCACACGTGCCCGGCATAAGTTTCAAGCCACTGTGTCCGGGATGGGTGACTGTGAATAATGATCATTTATCCAGCAAAATGAGTTAAAATTTGTAAAATGCATAGTCAAACCATGGTCAACTACGTGAGAGACCAGTGACATAGCCATTACTGCTGGTTCCCGCTATAGGTTTTTAATAGGTAGCTTTCATTGTGTTGAGGAATGACCCTTCGATACCAATTTTGCCGAGAGTCTTAATCATGAAGGGGTGTCGTATTTTATCGAACACTTTTTCTGTATCAATTGATATGATTATATGGTTTTTATCTTTCTTTCTGTTAATAGGGTGTATTACATTTATGGTTTTGAATATGTCGAATCACCCTTACATCCCTGGAATAAGGCCTACCTGGTTGTGATGTATAATCTTAGAAATATGGAACGCTTCACGAATTTGCATGCCATCCTTGCACAGGGGCCATGCTAACCTTCTCTGTATCATTTCAATTTTAGTATATGTGCTGCTGAAGCAAGTGTGAGGAATTTTTTTGAAAGAAAAGCAAATATATCTTTTCCAAAAAAGCCCAAAAGATATACCATTAAAAAGAAGTAGGGGGGATGCCAACAGGTGGCGTGGTGAAGGTGCCAGATCCCATAGCTGCAGTCTAGGTCCTGAACCCAGCAGTTTGAACACGTGTACATGTGTGCCCAAAGACCTGAGAGAATGGAGAAGGGATTGGGGCATCCCTTTTTCCTGGGGCTGATTCCTCATTTTTCCTCTTTTTCTCTGGCAAGTGCATGTGCCCTATGGCAAAAATCTTAAAAAAAAAAAAAAAAAAAAAAAAGTAGGAAATAGACAAAGCAGCAATGAATTGAGAAGATTGGTTCCCTTCTGTTTAGCAACACCAGATGGCACATGTGTTGGGAGAGCTTTTTCAAGATAAAACTATGACTTTAACAGGTTATTCCTGGAAAAGGGTGACTGTGAATAATGATCATTTATCCAGCTAAATGAGTTAATATTTGTAAAATGCATAGGTAGAGCCTAGCAGATGGTTAACTGCTATTACATTAAAGAACTTATGTTAAAAAAAGTTTCCTAATTTTCTTACAATAAGCATGCATTACTTAAGTAATTTAAAGTAATTTAGAAAACGCTGGCCTCAAATAGTCAAGAAAAAGAGGAACACTTTGTATTTTTGCTTTTGTTTTTAACAAGATTTGATGGCCCAGAAAACTGAGCCCAAGAAAGGAGCCAGATATGCTGTCCAGGTTTGCCCTGGGCACAGGAAGCAAATGCATAGCACACTCTGGGCAGGGCCCCGAAAGGCTTGGTTGACGGAAGTGATGGGAACACACCCTTCTTCAATGGGGTTCCCACAAACAGGTCAGGCCCAGATTTTCTGAGTCGAGACTTTATTTGGCAAACACAGTTTCCGGTAATGCAGCCACTGAGAGGAGCCACCAAGTGCCCAGCACCCAGCTTGTGGAGGCATCTTCAGTCGGAAGACCAGAGCTAAGAGGCCCCACTCCTCCACGGCTCCTGCTTTAGTGTTGCGAAGGAGCTGGCTGGAGGGCTGACACGCCACTGCCCAGCTCCTGAGATGTGCCCGAGTCCACGGAGTAACAGCAGGGCCAGACCCAGAGGCTGGCGAACCTGACGGCCCTGGGCAGCTGGGCTGTAGAGCTGGGCAGAAAAGGGTGGCCCGCAGGCCAAGGCTCCCAGGGACTGTGGTCCCAGCTCAGGCTCTCCTGGGGCCTGGGGCGGGCAGGGGCTCAGAGTCAGACTGGTTCCATCCCTTCTGAAGCCCAAAGACGGGCCAGCTAGGAAGGCCAGCCATTCACAGAAAGGGGCTGTCACCGCCCCTCAAAATGGGCTGTGATTTGTTCCAAAGTCTTTCCTTTGGTTTCAGGGACACAGAACAATGTGAAAAGGACAGCAAAGATACAGAAGGCAGAGGCAAGCCAGAAGGCTCCGTAGGGCCTGAGGGCCTCCTGCAGAGAGAGGAAAAGCCACGTGTGGACGTGGCAGAATGTCAGGAGGCCCTTGTCATCATGAGCCCAAGCAGTCCCCGTGCCACTGGGCAGCACCCTGGCTGCAGCCTGCCCTGACTATGGCCAGGGCTGTTCTGTCCCCACCCAGCTCAGGGAGGTACAGGACAGGCAGTCCAGCTAGGCCAGCTACTCAGGCCCAGCGCTACCCAAGGTGTCCATGCATGGCTGGGCAAACAGGCTCACAGCAGTGAAGTGACTGCTCCAAGTTCAGAGGCCTGCTGGCAAGTGATGGCTGGGCTCCTGCTCCCGGGTCTGACTCTGGGGCCCATAGACCCCCTTCCGAGGACCCTGTCCCCCGTGGATTTCTCTCTTCACTGAGAAAGAATGGTGGTGGGAATGGACGAGCCATCAGCAGGTCGAGACGGGCAGAGTGTGAATGGTGCTGGGAGCATGGGGACACTGGGCCCACTGGGGCCCACTGGAGGAAGGAGGAGTCCCTGCTGGTCAGAGCCAGGATCCCCTTCCCTCTCAGCTCCTCATTGTCTGGGAGTCCTCCTCGCCTCCTGGACACTGTATACCCTGGGCTCAATCAGGTCCTTTGTTACCTCCTCGGCTCCTTCTCCTCCCTCCTTTGCTGTCCAAACCCTTACAGCTACCAGCGAGCAACCTCCAGCCCCAGGCCCCTGCCCCGGCCTTCCTGGCTCTGTAGACTCTGGGTCAGCCCAGGCATCTGCACCTCTAACTGACCTCCCTCCCCATGCCCAGCCTGGCCTCTCCAGGGCTCGTTCTCCCATGGCCACCCACCGCCTCCCTACCCCTCCTCGGAGACCCTGCCCATCTCAGTCATAGCAGCCTCTGCTGCTTGGACAGGCCTGGACGTGGTAATGCCAGGAGACCTGGAGGGAACGAGCGGCCAGACTAGTCACTTGATATCTGCTCCCAAACCGTCTCTGTGTCGGCTGGGAAGCCCCAGAGCAGGGACCACATCTGTGTCCATCCATGAGAGAGGAGCAAACCGTCAAACTGGACAGAAGCTCTGGTGAACCTGAACAGGAAGGTACTGCTCCCCCTTTCCATTTCCAGCCAAGGAAGCTGGTTCAGAGAAGGTAAGCATTACACCTGAGGCCACGCAGCAAGCAAGTGGCCATGGTGGGGCTGGAGCCCCGGCCCGTCAACTTCCCATACAGCATATGGGTTCCTGGCCCATGTTTCAGTGGGGGGCGGGGTACAGCCACAGTCATTCCACCTACACAGACTGAAGACTCTTGGGGGCCATAGCCTGGCAGCTCCACGTGCCCGCAGCCACTTGTCCCATTGCCCCTTGAAGACAACTGGGGTCCCAGGCCTGGTGGGGCCTCTGTCTGCAGCCGAACGCCACTTTGAAAAGCCCTCCTCTGCTGGCGGCCTGAGGGAGTCCGGCCTGCACTCACCATGAGGCTGCTGAACTCCTTTGTCACCAGGAAGGCCATGAGCCAGTTAGTGAGGACGCAGACGCCAGTAGCCACACCCTTCACGTGCAGCGGGAAGATCTCGGACATGAGGAGCCAGGGGATAGGCCCCCAGCCAACTGCAAAGCCTGAGGAGCAAGACAGCTGTCAGAGACCAAGGGGTGGGGGCGAGGCCTGGGTCCCAGCCTGCTCCCCGGGCCACGCTGGGGACTAATGGTCATGGAAGGTTAGCGTGGAGCTGGCACATGGGCAGGGCACAGCGGAGGTTAGACTGGCATGGCCAGGGCATGGACTCACTGGACCCCAGAATCAGGGGCTGATGGGAAGGTAGCAACGCTCCCCTCTCACCGGCGATGAAGAGGCACATGCTGCCCACAGCCAGCCAGGCCAGCCCCACACTGGTGTCGGTGGGCTCTGCCGAGACAGGTGCCAAGAAGTCCACCTGCGAGGAGTTGCCGGGGCCACCCTGGGCCAGCTTGAAGTAGGCGCCAAAGGCACTGGTGCTAAACACCATGACGGCACCTGTGGGCAAGGACAGGGTGGACGGGGTGCCTCTGCAAGGCCAGGCCTGGGCGCCATGGGCCCAGGAGCCCCGACTGAGCTGCACTGCCCACCCCACCCAGGACTCCAGACCTCAGCAACCTCCCAGGAGATCCTGGAGCAGACCCGGAATCCCTCCCTCGGCCCGAGGGAGCAGGCCCAGGGACAGCGCTGCAGCAGCAGCATCTTAGCCGCAGGCACTGGTGTGTCTGGCTGCAGCCCGGGCCCAGGGCCTCCTTCAGGTGACCTCCCGGTCCTTACAGCAGCCCTTGGGTCCCCGCCATTATCTTCATTCCATAGTGGGGGAAACCGAGGCTCAGAGAGGTCATCATTTGACTTCCCTTCCCCAGCGCTCAGTTTCACCCTTGGACGTGAGGGTGGGAGTGGGTGGCACGTCCTTGTGCCACTGGGACGCTGAGGGTGATGAGCTGCTGCATGCTGGCGCAGGCCTGGTCTGGCGCGATGCTCGGTGAGGAAATGCTGGTAACTCACGGCCTCATTCTTCCATGACGTTTGTCCTCACAAAGGCCTGGCTGTTGTCCTCCTATAACTAGGGGACCTTGGCAGAGGCCCCAGCCTGTGGTAGGAGCCTGGCCTGGACACCCCACCTGCCCAGGGCTGAGCCCTGTCCTCGGGCCTCACCCGACAAAGTCAGGAGCAGCCTCCGCCCAGCTCTGTCCATGATGAGGGCCGCCGCCGCAGTGAACAGTACCTGGATCACGCCCATGACCACCGAGGCCAGGCTGCTGTCCTAGGGAGAGGGGGCCCAGGCTGGTCAGGCACGTGGCGGGGGGACAGGGCCCGCTCCTTCTAGTCCTGTGCTGGTGAAGACGGCCTGAACTTGGGGAGAAAGCACCCCCTCTGGGCAGAGGTCTCCTTACCTTGAATCTGGCCTCCTCAAAGATGGTGTCTGCATAGAACATGATGGCGTTGACCCCCGACAGCTGCTGGAAGGCCATCAGTGAGATGCCGATGACAAAGGGCTTGTAGATGCCAGGGTGCCGCAGCAGGCCGAGGTGGAAGCCCTGCTCCACGAGACCAGGGCCGGCCATCAGGGCTTCTCTCTCCCCTCTTTGGGTGCCCACCTCACTCAGCCCACTGTCGCAGCACGGTGGAGGGAAGTGGGCCTCAGCATCTTGTCCCAGCCCCGCCTGTGGCCTCGGGTGAGTGGGCAAGTCCCCGCATCCTGCAGCCTCCCCTTGGCAAGGTGAGCGCATCCTTGTGCCCGCAGCTCTTCCTGATTGGTGGGGAAGCCACAGGGGGGTATGTGGGCAAAGAGCAAGCTGGTCCCTGGCCCTCCTCACTGCAGCCTCACTGCCACCAGGAGGCCTGGCTGTGCCTCCCATTTTACAGATGAGCGAGTGAGGCTTAAAAGTGGGGGGGGGGTCACACAGCAGGTGAGTGACAGAGTGGAGGTTTTGGACCCAGTCTTTTAACCTTCTCCTCTGCTCTGCCATACCCCAGTTAGATCCAAGTCCTTGACTCTGCATCTGTACTTCCCAGCCAGGCCCGGCCTCGCTCTTCCTGGGGCAGTAAGGATGAAGGCTCAGGCTCTTCAGTGACCTCTGAGGTGAGGGCCCAGCTAAGTGAGGCTCCACCCAAACTGCCTGCTCAGAAGGCCAGCACTGGGCCTGTCCTCACTGAGGGTGGAGGGGCAGCCTCCAGGTGTGTGACCTTGGGCACGGGCTATGCGCCCCAGCCTCAGCTGCTGTCCCCTGTCCCCAGTGCCAGCTCCCAGCCCCAGCTGCTGTCCTCTGTCCCCGGCCATCAGGCCGACTCGCAGCCCCAGCTGCTGTCCCCTGTGCCCAGCCCTGGCTCCCACCTCTCACCTGGTGCTCAGCCCTGGGAGGCTCTTCCCAGCCCTGCACGGAGCCCCACAGGAACTGCAGTGCGGCCATGGCCTCCTGGCGCTTGTGCTGGGTCAGCAGGCAGCGTGGGGTCTCGGGCATGCAGCACATAAGCAGCAGCATGC